CCCAAAGAGCCCTGGTTAAACCAGGGCTCTATGGGGTCTCACCAGGGCTTTGTAGGGTCCCAACAGGGCTTTGTGGGGTTTAACTAGGGCTGGTGAGACCCTACAGAGCCCTGGTTAGACCCCACAGAGGCCTGGTTAAACCATGCCTCTGTAGGGTCTCACCAGCATCAAGGTTCTGTAGGGTCTCACCAGGGCTATGTGGGGTCTCACCAGCCTGGTTAACATATCGGCCGTAAATGCCACTATTGGCATAATGCCGAAAGTGCCATTTCCCCTACCAGGGCTATGTGGGGTCTCACCAGTCCTGGTGAAACCCCACAGAGCCCTAGTTTAACCAGGGCTCTTTATGATCTCACCAGGGCTCTGAGGGGTCTCACCAGGCTGGTGAGACCCCACAGAGCCCTAGTTTAACCAGGGCTCTTTATGATCTCACCAGGGCTCTGAGGGGTCTCACCAGGCTGGTGAGACCCCACAGAGCCCTAGTTTAACCAGGGCTCTTTATGATCTCACCAGGGCTCTGAGGGGTCTCACCAGGCTGGTGAGACCCCACAGAGCCCTAGTTTAACCAGGGCTCTTTATGATCTCACCAGGGCTCTGGGGGGTCTCACCAGTCCTGGTGAAACCCCACAGAGCCCTGGTAAGACCATACAAAGTCCCCATAAACTCCCAGCCAGAGATCCTCGTGTGGTGGATGGGAGGGGTAAGGTCTCTTCTCATTGGCTGGTGGGCAGAGCTCCAGAAGACCGAGTGAATGGACCGTACAGATGATCGAGGAAGCGTATGAGCGCTCAGCCCTGTCAAACTGAGAGTCTCACAACGTTACCTGATTGCGAGTGAGGTGATGTGCTGTTCCGACAGGGCAAACAAGGCGCCCCTATTATTCATAGGGGCGTCGGGCCCCTAGGAATAATAGGGTCCCGCCGCTGAAGTGCTGTCCTCTGCAAAGGCTCCCCACCTCACCGTCGAGCCCCTATTATTCAGCCTTGGGCACCAGCTGCTTGCTGCTACTGTGCTGGTGCAGAATCAGCACAGTAGCAGCAAGCAGGTGGTGCCAAAGGCTGAATAGGGGTCCAACGCTGGGGTGAGGGCGAGGGAAGCCTTTGCAGAGAACAGCTTGCCCTACCCTCACCCCAGGGTCGGGCCCCTGTTCAGTCTTGGACACCAGGCCAGCTGCTTGCTTTTACTGTGGTGATCTCTGCAGAAAGCCCCCCCACGTCGGCCATATAAACTAAGCTGCTGTGCTGTCGCCCCCCAGCCCAAGGCCTGACACCAAGCCTCAATTGCTGCTATCCCCCCAGCCAGCCCCAGACTCATCTCACTCAGCAGCTGCTGCTGTTCCCTGTTCCCTTCCCCCCCAGCTCCAGATCATTGCTGGCTTACCTTACCAGTGCAGTGACACAGGCTCTGCCGCTCAGCCTCCAGCTGTGAGAGCTCCGCGGCTGCCCCTGAGGAAAAAAACCCTTCCTGCATGTGGGCAGGAAGGTACCAAAATATCACATTGGATGGGGGGTTTGGGACGTACCAACTGTTCCGTACGAGTCGATAAATCGCTCAATGTGAACGGGGCTTAACACAACTTGTGAACTGAAGGACACCTGATACTGAAGTCAGCAGGAACACTTCCACTTATAACACTGATCATCACATCACATTCATTAGATAGAAAGACTGTCGCCCAGTACCTCGAAATGGAACACTCCTGCATAGTTCTGCTGGAAGCTCTGACCATGGGGAACCACTCGATGGAGAAGAGTGTCATTCAATGTAAGAGAGGCTATAGCAGCAAGGAGCCAACAGTCACCTAACCCAAGGAAAACAAAGAAAACATGAAGCAATCTGCACAGCAATTACCAATTGCAAAATACATATTTAATGAACTTGAACTTTTAAAAAAAGTAAATAAATGGGAGGAAACTGCTATCAGAATCAAGCAGGAAAGAAGTGACGGCAAATAAGGCTTCAGTCCTAAATACAACCTGTAATGAGAGCACAACAGAATCTTCTATTGCTGACTGTCTTCTGAAAATGCTGGTTTTCTGAGTGTCATGCTGATCCAATATTTTTCACTTACTTACCTAGAACAAGGATCAGATCAGGAAATTTGGAGCTCTTAATCTATGTACTGTTTTATGTGTCAGTGATCCTAAAAGTACTGAAGCTATGCAGATTTCTGCAGGTAAAATACTTTTGAAACTTAAAATGGAAGCACATTTGTTAGGTTTTAGTTCTCTCTTGGGTCACAGGAGTATATTTACTAATGTACTCCTGTGACCCATTTCAGCATATAGAGGACAACTGACAGCTATATGCTGACAGCGTAGAGCCATGCTGCAGCTGGGAATGATGCCAACAATATTGTCAGGATCCACACGACTGCCTGATTGACAGTAGGCTCTGCCTCTCTAGAGCCAGAGCCACCAGTGCCCGCCCCCCTCCCCTTGTCTGGCCCTCCAGTGAGCAATGGAGGAACAGAGAGGGGATGTGGGAATCCCTGCGGGGTGTAGTGACTGGCAGTCACTGCTCTTTGCAGGAAAAGACTGTGAGCTGTCACATCAGCAGTTCCATGATCAGTATATAGAGCCGGGTGGTGACATCTGCAGTGTCCTATGCTGACTCTTAAGTATTGCTAAGAGTATATATAAAAGTATATTTTACTCTCCCAATACTACTCCGTTAATCAGAGCCAAAAGGTGACAAACACATCCCACACTGAAGTTATCAGAAAAAGTCTATTTTAATAATGGTAAGCCCTTTCATTCTAGAATTCATTTGAGGTGTCAGACACAAAAAAAAAAAAAAACTATAATGTAATTCTAGTAAGGACCTTTTGTAGTTGTCAATATTTTCCTTTACAGCCCTATTGCGTGACTTTTCTTTCATTGCATGCCTTGTAAATCATAATCATATTTACAACTTAGTATAAGTTACTGCCCTTTATGTTATTTCACTCAGGTTACGGTATTTAATCTAAACACTGAAAAACATTGCATGAAACTTTGTGAAGGATACTGCTAAATATAACATTTATAGCAGGAGAAGAGGAATTTAGTTTATATGAAAGCAAAAATCATACAAAAGCACTTTACCAATATCTATGGAGAACTATGGGGTCAGGGCTTTTCCACATAGTTCTCCGAAGGGTAATGGGAGGACACAAACTAGCGTCATACAGCATTCATGAAGAGCTGTCCAGCTACATGTAGACTTATTTTATTTAAAATGATTTGGAAAATTCTATTGCTGCCTAGATAAATTATCATACAAAGTAAGTATACAGTAGTGAGTATAGTGGACTGATGGGCTCTAGGTGCTCGGTCTGCTAAGGCAATAGCGTACTCTCGATAGGTATACATTTTCATTCACCATTGTAACATTTACCAGAAACTCAATTTGATGCATGTTACACATAATTTTTTGTTGTATCCTGTTTTATTGTAAATGTTCCCTCTACTAGTCCTCTGTATTGCTGGAAATCTTTGTTAGTACTCTTGGGTAATGACTGCAGATATACGCTCAATTAGCCTAAAGGTTTCCCTAGACATCAGATATGTGACACTGGCTTATCCGGTGGTGACGAGATTGATTAGAGCAGGTTTTGTAACCTGCCTGACTGCACATTTCCCTTAAGGAGAACTATGGGGTCAGGGCTTTTCCACATAGTTCTCCGAAGGGTAATGGGAGGACACAAACTAGCGTCCTCCCGTTACCCAAAGCTCAGTATACCGCGAGCTGCAGCTGGAGCTGGAAAAGTATCTGTACTTGTACCGAGTATAGTACTTGGTATCGGTGCATCCCTATTATAGAGCATGAGGTCATGGTTCACTGCATGGTCCCTGCAAACCATGGAGGAGATGTCATAGTGTGTGGTGCAGTGATAAGTAATAGAGATCCCTGGAATCCAGGCAGTAATGTTTACAATACGCCTACATACCATAAAACATATAATAATCTCACATTGGCCATAGGGTGCAGCATTCCACTGACACGGCACATGTTAATGGTTAATAAATCTGTCTGTTCAGTCTTTTGATAACATCTACTTTAAACTTCTACATATTCACATAAAAGAACATTCACATAACATAATATTTAAAAACTTCTGCTCATATTTTATTTGATGAAAAAATCCGACTTATTTAAGCTGGGCACACACTGAGAGATATTTTTCCTTCAGCCTTTGAGGCAGATTCCTCCATCTACAGTAACTGCATGGAAGAACAAATCTCCTGCTGTGTACATTGTATTCTGACAGCGGCACCCGCCATTGTCAGAATACAAAAACAATGCTTGCAGCTGATTGGCTGCAAGCATCGTTCAGCTGACAATTTTCCAGCATGTCCTGCTGAATTGGACAGTATTCGATCCATATGTACCCAGTTGCCTTTAACCCTTCTATTTAATGTTTAGGAGGGGGGCTGGGGTTATGTTTACCATAATTAACCCTGTCTGTACTGTGCTGGCAGATCTTTATTGTAAACTAGATGTGCACACTGTCCTAACAAAGAGTTCAAGATATGAAACATATAAATATTTGGGTGGTACATTGTATGTTAAAGAAAACTCCAGCCAAAAATGTTATTAACCCTTGCCCAACTCCCCCCCACCCCCCTTCAAGAGTTAACTGCTCGTTTTTGCCTTGGGTTAAAAATAAAAATGTTATACAAACCTGATCTTCCAAGCCGACCGTCTCTTGGACCGGCCCCTGGAACATCTCTCCCCCTCTGCTCCAGCGGTCTAGCAATGCTCAAGTCATCACATCCAATACAGTGTATAGGTTGTGAAGACACCGAGGGACATTCAATTGCTGGAGCGGAGGAGTAGCAGGCTAAAAGGAGTGCTGCCAGCTCTGAGGATCGGGGAAGTATAACTTTTTTTTAACCCTAGGCAAAAAACGAGCAGTTAACCCTTGCTGTGCCGGGGTAGCCCCATTGGAAGGGTTAATAACATTTCTGCCTGGAGTTCTTCTTTAATGCACTTTTAAACCAATCTGTTCCTAAACTGCACACTGCCGGCTATTGTGAACAAGATAAGCTTCCAATAGAGTTCTGTACACAATTGTGCTCCAAAGAAACAACTAGAGAGGCAAGAAATATTCTTCAGAAGATTTTAGGTTTGCTGTGTAAATGTGGAACACAAACATATAGCAGAGGTTTCTCCAATTTGGTTGCAAAGGTGGAAATACGCTTTAAGTTATCCAATAATGGGTCTCACGTATACCCCAAACTTCCTGTTCAATTGTCTGCACACATTAGGCTAAAGGTGGCCATACACTTTACAACCCTCGCAAGAGTTTTGTATTGCGAGGGTTGTAAAGTAATTTAAAAAACGTATGCTCTGCCCATCTTGGACAGGCAGATCGTACTTGTGATCATCGCAAGCCCGCCCCCCTGAGGAGCAGGCTTCCGATGACTGCAAGCGCACACCGGCCCGTTTGGCAGTTGTCGAACAAGCAGGCCACTAACTCGCCGAGAATCGTACGATTCCCGGCGGGTTTTCCAACCTGCTTGTTCGACGGAAGACATGCACCCATACAGTAGAAACGGTTGCACGCCTTCTATACACTTTGCGATCATAAGATCGCGGGATTTCCCGCGATTCTCGTGCGATAATCGTGCAGTGTATGGGCACCTTAAGGCTAGGTTCTGATATCAGCGATCCTGGGATCATGCAAGACTGCACACAGCGATTGCCGCACGGCCCTATTTATTTCAATGGGGTTATATCCGCATGGCAACAGCTGAAAAAATTTACATGTATCTCTTTTTACGACACGCACTGCGGGCTTCTTTAAACCGTGATCGTGCGCAATTGCACAGGCGGTATCGCTGCTGGAAACCACGCAATCTGCCTGGTGCGACTGAGGTGCCATTAGAAAATAATGGTACTGCCAGAGCGATCGGCGGTGGTGTGCGATTCTGTGACCGCGTGGCCATCCGCGCACTTTCGTGCATGATTGCTGCGCAGTCAAGGATCGCCCTACTGTAAACCTAGGCTTAGTTTCCAAATCCATGCATGCACAGCACAAAGACATCCACACTGCACACACAAATACAGACACGCCTCAGCCGCAGAGCGGTGACTCAGAAAAGAGAAATGTGAGACAGCAGGAGGGAGTGACGCCTGAGGGAATCCCTGTGTCACACACCCAAAATAAAAATCGCACAGAACATGCCTTCCAACACCCACACACACTTCACCCAGAAAAAGCCCCATCCCTGTACTACGGTAAAAACGATTGTTCACTTAAAACACCAAACCTGAATGTTCACTGTGAATATGTGTCAGTGATATACATGGAAACAGAACCTGTGTAGAACCTCTCTATGCTCTCACCCCTTTATCTACAACTACAGATCTTTGTACTCATGCCATTTTCTGCAGCTTATACAAAATGTACATGTTTCTTTTGTTTGCAAAGCAACATCTCCCTTTTTTCACTGCATCAAAATTACTTGGAAGTGATAAATAAATAAAATGAGAGTGTTATGAAACAGGAAACAGCCTGCTGCCCCCAGGCTCGGCCCACGTGATCTTTTCACACATCTAAAACTAGAGACTTATAGAATGGGAGATTTCATACACAGGCACACAGTGGCAGAGGTAAGAAATATTAACCCGCCACCTCACCCACCTACAAGTAACACTAAACTCAGGAGTTAGGGCTTGTTCACACCAAGCGCGTTCCAGGAGCAGAGCAGTTACAGACCGGATCAAAACTGCGTCCAATGTATTCCAATGGTATTTTGGGCTCTAGTTCACATCGCAGTGTTCAGTTCCAGAGCATGTAAAAAAACTGCAGCG